AGAAATTTGAAGATTCAATACAATCTCTATCAAATATACCAATGGCATTTCTCACAAAAACTTTAAAGATCAAAAACCATAACTCTAAAATTTGTATGGAGCCACAAACGACTTAACTATGTCAAGTATCCTAAAAAAAAAAGAACAAAATGGGAGACATCATACTATCAGACTTCAAAATATACTACAAAGCTATAGTAAGATACATAGACAAATTGAATAGAGAACTCAGAAATAAATATACATATATTTGGCCAATTGATTTCTTACTAAGACACTAAGAATGTTTACTGGGAAAAAGGGTCTCCAATGAGACCTGAAGCCATGAAATTACTAGAGAAAAACATAAAGGAAACATTTCCAAACATTGATCAGAACAAAGATTTTTGAATAAGAGATCAAAAACACAAATAATTAAAAGCAAAAAGAGACAAATGGGATTATATCGAATTAAAAACTTTCTGTACAACCAAGGAAATAATCAAAAGCATAAAGGACAACTTGCAGAATGGGTGAAAACATTTACCCAACATGAGACTAATATCCAGAATACACAAGGAACACAAAAGAACTTGGCAGCAATAATAATAATAATAATAATAATAATAATGATCTGATTTTAAAATTAGCAATTATTTCGAATAGACATTTCTCAAAAGAAGACAGATAAATGTCTAAAACTGTATAAAAAATTATCGACATCATTAATTAGTAAGAAAATTAAAATCAAAACCTCTATGTGCTATCACGTTACCCCAATTAGAAGGGTCATTATTAAAAAAAAAAATGTTGAGGAGGACATATGGAGAAATTTGAACTCTTATACAAAATGATGATGGCAAAGTAAATAGTACAACCATTATAGTATGAAGTTTTCTCTAGAAACTAAAAAACCAATGTATTATCTGGTAATTCTATTACTGGGGTAGATAAATCCACAGGAAAGTAAATCAGAATGTCAAAGAAACATCAGTACTCCCATGTTTATTGTGGCAATATCCACAAAAGTCAAGATATTGGATTAACCTAAGTATTCATCAACAGATAGATGAATAAACAAAATGTGGTGCATAGACACAAGGGAATACTATCAGTCATAAAAAAGGACAGAATCCTGTCATTCATAGCAACATGAGTGAGGCTGGAGGACATTCTCTTGAATAAAATAAGCCAGGCTAGGAAGGAAGGAGGGATAAGGAGATATTGATTAATAGATAAAAATAACTGTTACTTAGGAGGAATAAATGCTAGGACTCTATAGCACAGTAGGGTGACTATAGTGAACAATAATATAGTGTATACTTAAGATAGCTAGAGAAGAATTTGAATATTCTCATCACAGGTAACAAATATTTGAGGTAATGAACATACTAACTACTTTTATATTAACTATCTTTTATACATTATACTCACACTGTACTCCTTAGCTATGTACAATTACTATATGTTTATTAATTAAAACATACACACAAAATCTCCATGCCCACCAGCCTTGTTTCTAAGACTTAGAGGCAGATCACTGAATAAACGTAGAGAAGTTTATTTTGTTTTGTTTCGTTTTTGTTTTTGTTTTTGTTTTTGTTTTTGCCAGAGGATGCATTTGCTTACCAGAAAGGAAGAGAGAGAGGGGAGTGGGGGCAGGGGGGAGAAGGAGCACCACCATTATAGGGAATGGTCACACCACAATCCCTTTGCCTCCATTTTTCCATTCTGTTGAGATTTGGGGCACACATGCACATGTATCAACTGTGGTTAGAATCCCAGCCCCAGCAGTTCAGAAAATATGCCAGGCAGGGTTGCATGCATGCCTCAAATCTCAACAGGATGGAGAAATGGAAGATAAGAGGTTGCAATGTGATCACACCCCATTGGAGGGGGCATTCTCCCTTTCCTTCTCTTTCCTTCTCTCTCTCTGTTTCTCTAGCCAGTGCACATTCCCTCTGACAATTAAAATAACAGCAATCTTCTATTTACTAACCACCACATACCACCTGCTATATTTACTTCTTGCAAAATCCTACTAGATGATACAAGCTGTCTCATTTTACAAATGAGAGCACTGAAGCTCACAGGACTTTCACAGTTTCTCCGGGGTCACCCAGGAATTGTAGAGCAAGCACATGATCCAGAATAGCAATATAGTATGTGTGCAGTTTGCTCTGGCATCTTGCTTTCTTGTTTATCTTTCCATGGGAGGCACAGACATGCTGGTGCTGGAGACAATCAAGAACTCACACTGTATCTCATCAAGAAGAAGCACACACAAAATTTGAGGTAGCTTGAGACACTGGTGCCCAGGTGTTCTGAAAACTCTCTTTCTACTCAGCAGGGAACATTTGTTTTGCACAGTCTTTAGATCTATCTTGCAAAGCTGTATCAGTTACCTGGAGGTTTGAGCCTGTTTCTGGAAATGGCTATATATTTTGATTTTTGAAAACACATTTTTCTTCTAGTACCGCCTATGTAATCCGCTTACATCCTATCGATTTTACACTTCAATCAGTGCAGGGACAATTCCACAGAGTCCTCCCAAGACAGAAGCACGCTGCTGAAGGATGGAGGACACTGGAAAAAGAGCTGATGTCTGACAATAGGATTTGAGATGGCTGTCTCTAAGACTTTTACATAGCTGGCTTTCTGTCTAAAGTAAACTTTATGCTGATTACTCAAGTGCTCCATCAGCTAAATCTTTAAGATTCCATCCCTGATTTTTAAAATTAATGAGAGTGGTGGACTTGTGGTATTTAGTTCATTCTCTAACTCGCAGGTGCAGAGAAAGTATAATCTGTCTATCTCTCATCCATCTACTTCAGTCCCACTCAGGTGGCAGGGAAGCTATTTAGTCCAGTCCAGATTAGTTTCATCTCAGAATTTAATCAGGCTCCCTGTGTGGTGCTCAGTGTCTCTTGTGTACAAAATTCACATTTTCTTATTTCTGCCTCTTTTCTCTCTCTCCCTAAAAGGTCTATAGTAAATGGAGAAAGGAAGCTTCATGATCTCATGATAATGAGAAAGGGTTATGTTCCTTAGGAACAAAGTGGCCAGACTCTGGTCTAAGTGATGGCCACAACTACCTGGTGCTGTCTGCCTCCCCATCTTGGCAGTGGAGCTTGGGCCATGATCCTGAAGAGTTCAGGTCAGGGCACAGAGTGCTCCCTGCTCCTCTCAGCTGTGGCTCAGGTCCTGCTGGCTGCAGACACCTGAATCTCTACCCTGGCTGCCAGCCAGTCCCATGGGACCCCTCACCCTTCCTTAGAAAAGTCACTAGCAGGCCCTGTCTCCTTCTCAGTGTTCTGCCCAGGGGTTCAGGAAGTATAGCAATATCAGCCTGTGGCACCTCCCCAGCCCCAGCATTTGGCTTGGCCTCATAATCTTTTTTTTTTTTTTTGAGAGATTTTCGCTATAGGGCACGTGCGCTCGTCAGACAGACAGAGAGAGACATAGAGACAGAAAGCGAGAAATCTCCCCCCGGGGGATTGGTCACGCCGCAATCCCTTCTCCTTCATTCTCTTCTTGGGATCTTGGGCACGCACGCACATGCGCCCGGCGTGAGTTTTAAGCCACTGGGTCCGGGATGTGAACTGCAGTCAACTACATCATAGTCATTATGCTAACTGCTGGTTCCCGGCCTCATAATCTTTGTTGTGGTTGCACCAGTGCTAAGAAGCCTGAGCACCATAGACTGACCCTCATTTCTGTTGAGCAACTGCCCAGCTCAGGCCAAAGCCCAGAATGGAACAAAAGGCAATTTCTTTTTGCTCAACTTCCCACTTTCTTCTCTGACTTCTTTTTCTATAGTTCCTCTAAAATTGCAAGACAGAAAGGAACAAGGTTGTTCTTCTATGCCCCAATATTATCCTTCTCCTTTCTGATTCCCACCTATGGCTACACTTTAACCAGTAGAAGGCAGCATTTTTGTTTGTTTATATTCCATATCATACATCTCTATAGTGTACAATATGGTTTTTCAAAGTAGTACATGACAATCAAATAAAGGATATTACCATATACATCATTTTCAACAGAGAGCTTTACATCCTTGTATCTGTTAAGTGTTTCTTCCCTTTGCTCCTCCCACACACCTTCTACCATCAACTTTCCTCCCTTACAATATCTGTCACCTGTGCTTATCCTCCCTACAATCTGGAGCATCACTTCTACTCTGAAAAGAGTCTGATGAGCTATGTCTTCTGAATGCTGTAAGAAGGAAAGAGTTCAGCCTTCTTTCACTTTACATTTTCTCAGTAGCAAACCCTAATGTATCTCCAGGGAGGCTTCAAGTCAAGTCAGAAAAAAGTCTTAAACTCACAAAACAAAATAATATTTTGTAAGATCCTGTATTAATCCTATAATGAATGTATCTATACTGATTTATCAGCACCAAGGTATGTTCCACTACTGCCTGTGTTTCTTTCCAAATAAGACTGTTTTAACACTAAAGACCTATAGCAACACTTCCTAGCTACCAGGATTGCAGGAACAACCAGAAATTTTAAATTACCAACTGCCACCAAATGCCCTAAAATGAAAATTAACTATAAAAGATGTGAGAAATATAGAACCAAAACCAGAAGCCTGGGTTCTATCCTGGGTCAATAAACGCTTCAAATATGAGCAAATCACATATCTGTTTCTCTGTGCCTTGGTTTCTTCATCTGAGAAAATAAGGTTTGTCCTGTATGATCTCAAGAATGTCTCTTCTAATAATCTATGCTTTCACAATTACAATATGCATAATTCAATTTGGATTGAAATCGTGTATGATAGCATCATTGCTAATATTGAGTTAACAAGTCAAACACAAAATAAGCAATCCCCAGCACTATAGAGATGTAAGTAATCTTATAAATAACTCTATAGGTTCTTAAGAAAAAAATTTTTTTCTGAGAAGGATAATATACACTTACCGGGCTACGACTTGATTCTTTACATGTAATAACATCCCTTTTCCTACATCACAATACTTTGGAAAGACAAAGTGGAATGAGGCCAGCTCTTACCTTCTCGATACTTGAGCAGAATGTCCCAGAGGCTACGACGGGAGCAAGGGTCTACTCCACTGGTAGGCTCGTCCAGAACCACAGTCCTAGATGTGCCCATGAAAGCAATGCCCATGGACAGCTTCCTCTTCATGCCTCCAGACAGGGCTTGGGTCTGTTTGTGCTGATGCTGAGCTAACTCCACATCCTCGAGAGTTCTGGAATAGGAATAAAGCCTTCACTCTTTTCCCTGGAAGTCTTAGAGCTTTGCTTGGAGTTTTAATCCATAAACAATGACTTAGAGTGACATAGATTATTATAAACTATGGGTACATCAAGAGGCCTTGGAGGCTACATGAGCAATGGAGTCTTAACAGAGCAGCTTTCTCCTTCTTGAAGTTCAGACAGATCCATACCAACTGATTATGTGTGATGCTGCTCAACAGTATTTGCCAAGCATTGTTCTTGGGAAATACTTTAGCTGTCTCCTCTGGAGAAACATTTTTCTTTATTTCACTTACATCTGTCAAAGAGAGCGTGCAACCCGTTCAACTGTATAAAACATGGTAGAAAGGCAGTCATGTGGTCAAAAGAGAACAGAGAGCCAGCTCCACTGCTCATCAAAGAAGTCCTTTAACTTTATAGCCTTCTAGGCACTGAATTTGTATCACCTAACCTTACTGACTAATTGGGAGGTTACAATGAAATGCCACATGCAAAGTAACAACTCTCAGTTGCTTTTAGTGTAAGAATAAGCATCTTGTTTCTAGCAGGTCCTTTTCCCTCCCAGGTTCTCACTTTCAGGGACCTTGCACAAGATCCTCCCTATGTGAATGTTCTCTACTTATACTTCACTGTCTACTACATGCCCGTGTCAACTCCACATGAACACTCTCCCTTCTCGCCCACCTCCACTCATCACCTACTTAAATCTTACCTACTAGGAAAGCCCCAGTTTAAACAATGCCTCTCTGGAATTTTTCCTTGATCATTCAAATCAAAGTGGATCCCCTCCCTGCAGAATTATAAACGTGCTTATAACTTCCCAACAGTCTTCAACTGCAGTGAGATGCCATTCATATGCAAAAGATGGCTAGACATGTGGAGAATTATGAGGGTTCCATGTAGTTGGGCTTCGGGAACAGTTGGACCCTGGAACATTCCAGAATCCTAAGCAAAGAATTGAGTGAATCAAATAATTTGTTTGCCTGATAAGTAAATTTTTCATGTCTGTTTTATTATTTATATACTTTCCATCCCAACCCAGAAAAGTTCAAGTAAGCATCTTAGTTTCCAGATTTCAGCCTAAAAGCTGTGTATTTAGTCCAAGTCTTATCATGCGTTTTCTGCTCTGGTTGAGTCTCAGCCTAGATTTACACCAGGAATCTATGCCAGTTTTTCAGGCACATGTACTCTTGACAGATCTCCAAATGGAACAAATGGTTCAGGTTTGGAAGACAACTCCCTTGACACACACACCCCCACACACACACCTGACAACACCATCCTCCATGGTTGGTTCTAATAGAGAAGACAGGTGAATCTATTAAGCCCAACTCAACAGACATATGCATTAGATATCAGTCAGTAGGGTAAACAAATAGAAAAAAAAAAACACAATTCAGTAAGAATGTCATATATCCTCAAACATTCATGTTCTGATAATATGTGTAGGCTAAACCAACAACCTCTCCTGGGGGCCAAATGGTGGCACAGAGGTAAAACATGATGCCCTGTGGGGCTGACCCACACTGTGCCCCCAGATACTAAATCCAAAGGTTAGTTTCATCTTCACTTTACTCAGCACTCAGCCTTTGATGCAAGATCACGTTCTCCTCCTAGTGAACTGGGCTCATTCCCTGGTAGTCCTCCTCCCCTATTGGTCTCTCTTGCCTTCTTGGCTGGTTCCTCTTCATCTCTCCAGACTCTTCACATTGGAGTGTCCAGGATTCTTTTTCATCTCCTCCTCTACTTCAACTGCACTCTACCCTCAACGATCTCGTTACTGTCAGATAAATCTGCCTCCAATCTAATTTGAGTTCCATAGTGCACACTAGACTAGTAAGTGGTAATGTTAACTACATAATAACATCTCATTGACTTAAAAGCCTGACAAAGTTCTACTTGTATCTTCTCTAGGCAAAACAGTAATGAACTGGTTCTTGACAAACATTCACTCTAAAGATTTTACTAGGGATGCTACTTTCCTTGAGCTCATATTTTAATGAAGTTGCACATTAAGGAGACCAAGTAGTGCTATGAACACTAACAAGGAGTGTGTTGGCTCTGAATCAGATATTTTCAGTTTTCCTTCCCTCTAATTGAGAACTACTATCCTAAAACATGATCTCACTCTGATTGCTTTTGTGCAAATTGGCTTTGTTGCTAGGAAACTTGCTGTGAACTGATACCATTAAGGTTGCCTGGCACCTAAATAAGAAGATAAAGCCTACATATAGCATTGCTATTGATTTAAGCCCCTAGTCACAATCACAATAGAGCTTCCTGTGGTCCAGAGGATACAGTTTTTTTTTTAATTAAAATCAGGGACCTATGAATTTTTTAGGAAGAAAATTAGGTTGTACACAGCCAGTTGGTGATCTAGTAATATGTAGTCCATGTAATATCTAACCACTTATTAAGTACCTCCTCAAATCTAAGACAGATTTAACGAGTACAAAGTAAACATTTTCTCTGTACATCAAAGTCTCAGCTGCCGTTGACATTATTAGTGTAACCAGTCACTTTCTGCAGACTGCATGCGATAGGAACACAGCCTACCTTTTGTGTGTACTTAACATGAAAACTACGTGAGACTTAAGAGAAAGAGGAAAGGGAGAAAGAACTATTTAAATACAATTTGTGGTACCACCCACCACTGTACACAGAGGACTTCTGTCCCTTGAGGATTTTTTCCCATTAGTCCAGATTTAATTTGCATATGACCCTCACAGTATGAGCATCTATTCAGAGATGTGATTTGTTCTACACACACATTTGTTATATAGCCAGTCTCTAAACACCGGCACCTGTTTCAACTTGAGATTATCCAACCAAATGCTGATCTCGAAATTTCAAGTGTGGGGAATAAAAGTGTGCCGCGGTGCACCTCTGGGGAAGCAGCTTGTATTTTCCAGTGCTGCTCTTCACTGAAAGATTGCCAGGATAGCCTGCAGCCTGGGGTTTGCCCGATGCCCTGCTTTAAGACCTTGCCCCTGAGTAATATAAGCCTCCACCGTATCCTAGGTTTGCGTTCTCATTTTGTTTCTTATCTCCAATACAAGAGCTGCCTTAGTACTGCCTAACATTGCCCATCTTTGCCTGAAGATGACCTTATTCAAGTAAGAACCCTTCAGAGACCAATGTTCTAGAGGCTGTTCTTAATGAACCAGGGCTCCTGAACCCACACGTTCCCCACTGTGGGATGCTAAGAAGCCCCTTGCTCTGCCTGCCATGACTCTCAGAGCACATTCTGAAACTATGACCCCTGCATACACAAGACCCAAGGAGAGCAATTGATAATGGTCACCCTCACTGCTTGGAAATTTGGAAGTCTCTGGTGGTGTCCACCCCACCGTTATGGCGAAAGCACTAGAAATGAGCTGGAGGATACCCCCTCTGCCCAGTAAGTCTCCTCTTTCAAGAAGCATCTATACCCACCTGCTACATTGCAGTAACTAGCCCAAAGGAAAGGCCAAACAGGGCACCCTACATCTGAGAGCCCTGGGTCAGATCCTGGCTTCCCTATACCAGCTGCCAGCAGAGTGCCCCATCTGCCTGAGCCTGAGCTACCTGGTCAGTAAACCAGAAACAGCCCTCCCTGACTCCCAGGGAAAAGATGTTTGAATGGGACCTGTGTGTCAGATGCTGACACAAAGTCACAGTAGTGCCAGGCACAAAAAGGTGTTCAATGGATGAAGTCCTCATTTACACAACCTGGGTCACCAACTGCAGACATGAGCCTAGAAACAAAAGGCCCCTTTTGGGTCTTCTTCCTGCCATGCTCATGCGAGTTGTATAACATCCCAGGGCCACCTTGGGAAGGCATCTGGCTCTTGAGACATTTCAGGATCTGAGCACACCAAGAAAACTAAGGCAGAGTGGAGAGGAAAAGATAATGCAATAGATAAGAAAATCCACATGGTCTGGTGCACAGGCTTATACTGGGGAGCTCATAACTGCAGTCCACCTGACACCGGATACCTCCAGACCACTCACCCTCACGTCCCTAAGACAAACTCATCATTCTTCTCTCCTCACTTCTAGGATAGTCTCTCTATGTATTTCAAGATACATTGCCATATTTTGCTCACCTGAGCCAGAAATCAGGAAAGTGTTGCAGGTTCCTCCTTTTATTTCCCACATTGGGTCAGCATCTGGCCTTCCTCCTCACCCTCTATGGACCTCTTCTGGCCTCATCTACTCTTACAGCAGGAGCCCACCCTCACCCCTTATTCTCCTCCTTACTTTGGTTTGTGCCCCTCGCCCCATTCCCCATCCATTTCCTCCATGCTAAAGAAAGCATCTGACCAGATAATAGGGTAGGCATTCTTCCAGGTCCTTCTATACCCTTTAGGCCTCCCAAACCTGCTGACTACCTACAACATAAAATCTAAAATCTCTACAAGGCTTTTGAAGCCCCATGATGTGAATAGGCTCTCCTCGCAGGGTCTTACCTAGTATGACCAGTTGTCCTCCACATGGCACATTGGGTCAGCATCTGGCCTTCCTCCTCACCCTCTATGGACCTCTTCTGGCCTCATCTACTCTTACAGCAGGAGCCCACCCTCACCCCTTATTCTCCTCCTTACTTTGGTTTGTGCCCCTCGCCCCATTCCCCATCCATTTCCTCCATGCTAAAGAAAGCATCTGACCAGATAATAGGGTAGGCATTCTTCCAGGTCCTTCTATACCCTTTAGGCCTCCCAAACCTGCTGACTACCTACAACATAAAATCTAAAATCTCTACAAGGCTTTTGAAGCCCCATGATGTGAATAGGCTCTCCTCGCAGGGTCTTACCTAGTATTATGACCAGTTGTCCTCCACATGGCAAGGAGAGGCCCATGGACCCTCTGTGCCAGCATCTGGCTTTTGCATCTTTGATGTCTTCTAGCCCACCCAGAGGACACCAGGAAACCTCTAATCATCCTGGAGCTCTCTGCTCATGCATTACCTTCATTATGACCTCTTGCCTTGTTGCCAGGCACGCCAAATTGTTCACTGTCCCTGTGACCCATGACAATTGCCTCATATACCCCTCTTCACTCCATGGATCTTATTCTATATTCATTGTTCACATGAGTGTCTTCGTCCTGGCTGCAAAAGCAAGGACTGCTGCATTTAAGTTCCCTGACCCAACTCTAGATTGTTTATTATGGGATGAATTATATCCCCTCAAAGTTCATGTGCTAAAGTCCCAAGTCCTAGTACTCCAGTGCTACATTTAGAGATAGGGCCTTTAAAGAGAAACTTAAGTTAAAATGAGGCTGTTGGGAGGGATGCTAATCCAATATGACTGGCATCCTTATAAGGAAAAGAAATTTGGGCACAGTGACACACAGGATGACCACATGAGGGCATAAGAAGAAGGTGGCATCCACAGGTCAAGGATAAAGGCCTCAGGAGAAGCCAACTTGGCCTGCATCTTGATCTTGGACTTCCAGGTTCCAGACTGGGGGTGGGGGATAAATCAATTTCTACTGTTGAAGACCCCCTGCCTGCCACACTTTGTTATGGCAGCCTGAGGAAACTAAGGCATTATTGAATAGTGGCTGAATAAATAAAATGTGTGAGACAAATAAGTGAGTGAATGAATGAGGAGCAGCAGGAGGCAAGGCTGGAAAGTCAAGATGAGGAAAAATGGTGAAGTTCTCCTCATACCCCAGCTAAAGCAATGGACATCATCATCCTACAGAAGATGAGATGACATGGGACATCTTCTAGAAGGAAAATAGCATCATTCATTCATTCAGTTCTTCAACTTGAGGAACAATTATATGGCAGACCATGTTCCTATAAATGTCATTAACAAGCATCAGGCTAAAACCAATAGAGAGGACTCTATTGTGGGAGTGGGCCGTGCTGTTTCAGAGTAGAGCCCTGAGGCAAACCAAACACTAGGTCCATAATAGCACAGGGGCAGAAAGAGAGACAAGTACAAAGGCCTTGTAGCCAAGACCCTGTTCAGCGTATTCAGGGAGCAGTAACAAGACCTGCATGGCTGCCATAGTGAGAGGAAAGATGCCCTAGGGAGGAGGGGAAGCAAGAGCAGTTAGTGGGACTTTATCATTTATTGTTCAGAAAATAGGAGTTCTGAGATGGAAGAGGGTATGACAATAAATCTGGGACACAGGCACAAAACATTAGTCACCCTGTCATAGGTCACCATAGGTTCTAAATTTTACTCCATATAAGGGGGGAGTCTTGAAGTGTGGTGGCAGAGAAGTGCCAGGACCTAGAGATATATATACATCTATAAACATACACACACATACACATATATAATGTTAGAGTGTGGGTGCACTTGCCAGAGAGAAGAAGAGAGGAGAGGAAGAAAACACCTCTCAGTAGGGCATGGTCACACTGTATCTCTTCTCCATTTCTCCACCCCATTAGAATTTTAGGCATGCATGCATATGAAACTGGCTATTTTTCAACCTTTCTGTGCTAGGATTCATCACCACGAGGTTGGCCATGTAGAATCCTGCTCCCTTAACCACTACAGTATAGGGGCCAGCCCTTTAAGATGTTGTTTTTGTTTGTTCGTCATCACCACGAGGTTGGCCATGTAGAATCCTTCTCCTTTAACCACTACAGTATAGGGGCCAGCACTTTAAGATGTTGTTTTTGTTTGTTCATTTGGGCGTTTTTTGGGGGGGGGGTTGTTTGTTTGTTTGTTTGTTGCCATAGGATACACGCACTTGCAAGAGAAAGACAATCAGCAAGAAAGTGAGAAATCACTCCCCAAGGGGGATGGCCACACTGCAGTCCCTTCCCCTCATTCTGCTCCTGGGATTTTGGGAATGCATAAACATGTGCCCAGTGTGATTTTCAAGCCACCAAGTCCAGGACTCAAACTACAGTCAGCCATGTGAGAGTCCAGGGCCTTCACCACCATACCACCTGCTGGCCCCCAGTATCTTTTTCTATACTCATCACTTACATACACAACAGCCAGAAGCAGGAGGTGCAAAGAGAGAGCTTGTTACTCACTTGTTGACTTGCAGATGCAGCTCCTTCTCAGTCCACTGCGGGGCCTTTATGGAGGCAAAGAGCAGCAGATGCTCCCGGACAGTGAGGCTGTCCAACAGCACATCCTGCTGCAGACACACACCCAGCTCTGCCCTGATCTGAGACACATCTGTCTGCAGGGTCTTGCCATTCACGAGAATGGTTCCAGAGGTGGGAGGCTGGAGCCCCGTCAACATGGATCTGCCAGAGAAAATGAATCAGTACAGAGACCATGCTGCCAAGACTCTGAACACAGCCACCTGGTTGGCTCCTGCACACCCCCTGAAGAAAGCAAAAACTCTGCTCACCTATTCCCTGCACAATTTGAAAGTTGTGCAGTGCTTAAGGAAATGTCTGCTGGTTATAGCAGACATTTGGAAATGTGGGCTTATGATAACATTTGTCCTCCCATATGACACCCCCTCTTGATCATGGACCATTATAAATGGATGGGAATTTGTTTTCACAGATGAGACTGGCTAAGAATGACTTGTTTACCTAAGTCCGTCTAATTAGAAATGAGTAATTTCTAATTCTAAACAGAAATGCAAACTGAGACTCCAAACCTGGGTATCAGGTTCCTTCTGCCAACCCTGAACTATCTGTCCCAGTCTAAACCATAAAACCTTAAGCAGCTGGTCACCAGAAACTACTTGTTTAATTTCAGCAAAGGAAACCTGAGGACTGCCTAGTTCATGCTTCTGTTTTAGGAAGTTTATTATTTATGTTTTAATTTTTTTTCTTAAAAGTTAAAAATGTATCTATTACAGGATCTAACAAATCCATTCTTAAGTACTTATGTAAGAGAAAATAAATATGGGCCAAGGCAAAGATAGGTACCCTTGTGTCTATAGCTTTTTTGTTCGTGATAACTAAAAGATGGAGACGATCTCAACTGCATCCAACAGATGAGAACATAAACCTGCCGTGGTGCCTCTGTAGTGGAATAGCACTCACACTCACAAGGACCAGATTCGCCACCACGGACAACTTTGTCAAGTCAAAGAAAACAGACTCCATTCCATCTTTATGGAATTCTAGCAAATGCAAACTAATTTAAAGTGACAAATGGTAGATCAGTAGTCTTTGGGAGCAGGGTCAAAAAAAGGGCACAGGAGGGCCAGTCCCTGTGGCCTGATAGTCAAGGGGGCTGGATCCCACGTGGCTGACAGTGGTCCAAATCCTGGCCTCCAAGACTCGAAAGACATACCAGATAACTGTGCATGGTCCAAATCCTGGCAGGATGGAGAAATGGAGAAGAAGGGATTGCAATGTGACCACGTCCCATTGTGAGGAATGTTTCTCAGTCTTTCTGTCAAGAGCATGGGCTTTCTGGCAATTTTTTTAAAAGAAGAATAAAAGGAGCACCAGAGACCTTGGAAGGGGACAGAAATGTTTTGATCTTCACCAGGGTGCTTGTTTCATCATTAACCAAATGTGTCAAAACTTATTAACTGAACACACACGTGAACAGTGTTTGTTGCACATAAATTACACTCAATAAGCTTACTTAACAGCTCTTTACTGTGTTATTTTTAAACTTATTTTGGGACACTATAGAATAGTTGATATATATTGCATAGGAGTCTCATAGGCTTTTGTTTTAAACCATGAAGACCTAGTCCATTAATTGGCCTTGCCCCCTCAATAGCTCATCTAAGAACTCCAAAAGAGGCAATCACTTAAGGGCCCTGGAAACGTACTTCAAAAATATGCTACAAGTGATGTAATCAGTGGACCTTGAAACATCCACTTTAAATTTAGTTCTCATCTTTCTGCTAAGCAAGCTCTCCAGATTTTCCCTGTAGGAAATGAGCTTTAGTGAAGGCAAGAGGTGGAATATTGGGTTTTCTGAGTCATTCTCTAACTTGTACTTTCCCAATTTGCGAACACTAAGAAAAATCACTCAGAAGTTTTCAGTTCCATTTCAGCATTTAAGGAACAACAACCACTAAATAAATAAATAAATAAATGCACTCTCCATATTGTTTCTTTCCACTTGTTTTTCATATGAGATGTATGAAGCTTTATGTGTGTTATTTTTCTACCTTTCTTAATAAATTTGAAGCAAAGTCATTTTGATGGTTTTAACTAATCATATTTAGTTCTACATATTTAGAAAATTTTTCCATTATTTTGGTGGCTTAATCTTTTTTTTTTTTTGAGAGAGAGAGAGATTTTTGCTGTAGGGTGTGTGCAAATGCCAGAGAGACAGAGAAAGACAGAGAGACAGAAAGTGAGAAATATCTACCCCCCTAGGGGGGAGAGCCATGCCATAATCCTTTCTCCTCCAGTCTTCTCTCAGGATTTTGGGCATGCATGCACATGTGCCCAGCATGAGTTTTAAGCTGCTGGGTCCAGGACTTGAACCACCGTCAACTACGTAGGAGTCCAGCAACATAGCCATTATGCTATCTACTGGTCCCTTGATGGTTTAATCTTAAACAAACCACCAATGCCATAGACATCTCAAAGTCAATGATATTAGAACTCCTCATTTGTCTCAGGTTACATAATTTGATTCTCTGATCAAACTTGGAGCCATTGGATCCTAAACTAAGAATAAGAACTTAACAGGAAAACAATTACACAAAAAGCAGAACATGAAAAAACAAAAGGCAGGTATTTTAAAAATTTGCAAATATCCTTCTGATATCCTTCTTTCTGCAGACATGCAAGCAAAAGTACACATTGTTAAGATAAAAACTAAAAGTGTCAAAGGACTTTTAGAGACTAAAATAAACATGGAGGATTTTTTATAGGACATAAAAGAAGAATTAAGTTAGAAATAAAATTCCCACACCCTACCACCTTTCTTCTCCTACCTCTCTAAACTCTGTAATTTAAAACAAACAAACAAATCCAGGACCAACAGATGTCATATATGTCACTGGACTCTCATGCAGTCAACCACAGTTCAATTTCCAGACCCAGTGGCTTAAAATTCACATCAGTCATGTGTACCTGTATAACCAAGATCCCAAGAGGAGAATGGAGGAGAAGGGATTGTGGTGTGGCCATCCCCCGGGGGGATGATTTCCTGCTTTCTGTCTCTCTGGCCAGCACATGTGCCCTATAGCAAAAACTCACTTAAAAAAATATTAAAGGAAAAGAAAACATAAACTGAACCACTGTCTCACAGGTAAATTAGTGTTTTAAGAATCCAGAATTGGATAGTAACATAACAGTAAGAAATCTCTGGGAGGCTGGCATAAGTGGAAAAGTTCCAAATTCATGTCCAGAGACCTCCCTGAGTATGACATGATACTTGGCTGGCTGAAGTTGAGGGTGGACCCCAGGGTGGGGACCCTGTTTGAGGGCTACTCTCTGTCTTTCTGTCTAGCGTATGGAAGAAATTAGTGAATTAATTTATCAATTAAAATACTAAAAACCCAAAGCCCAGTGCTTTATGAGGATAACACAGGACACACATGATGGTGGTTTTCCCAGCGCCATTTGTTCCCAGCAGGGCTGTGACTTGGTCTCTGTGGAAGGTGAGAGTGAGGTCTTGGATGGCCACCTTATGGCCCTCATATTCCTTGGTCACAGACACCAGAGCAACTCCTGGAGGGCTTTCTTCAAGGCTCCGTTCCCTGTCTTGTGGTAATGACCATGACTCTGCAAGGAAGATGCAATTTCATCAAATAAGAAGGTCAAAAGTCCAGAAAATAAGGCTTATGTTACTAATCAGCGGGGAATTGAATTCTAGCTCAGTGAAACATACAAAGCAATTCTAAAATCTTTCTTTACCCAAAGCAAGAAGCAAATTTTATGGTGGCAAAAATTATGTGAGGTCACCCATTACAGTCTTGAAACTGTATGAAAACCATTTTGCAAAAGCAAAAAAAAGTTTCTAAAAAATGCACACGCACATGCACACACACACACACACACATGCACATGCATACACACACACACACACACAGAGGTATGTTTGTCTATGTAGATAAAAAAACAACAGTCAGGTTAGCTTCACACCAAAAAATCCATCAGAATTAGTTTCCTGAGGACATGGGAACTTATAGGCACTTATTGATTAGTTCCACATTATTTGACCTGTTTAATCAGAAAAACTACATTCCAATATTCCAATATTTATGCAATGGGTGTCTTATACTCATAGTCTAAAATTGCCAAGATGAGTATTTGGTTTTCTCTGGGTTGTGCACGTATATTTACACACTGATTTCCCTGAAGTTATCCTCTTGTGGGTGTCCCCATGCACCTGTACCCACAGAAATGGGCTGTGACTGGAACTCAGAGGGACAGTGACAGTGCTGCCCTGTCTCCTGAGAACCACACTACCCGATTGCAAAGAGCAGAGATACTCTGTCTCTCACATAAACTAACATGTATGACATCACTAGAAACCTTCAAGTGCATTATATCTGGAGGCTGCTCACCCTCATGTGCACTTGCTACACAGATTCATCTTTGGACTGAAGCTTTGGTTTTACTAAATTACAATAGACACACAAAGCATATGACACATTGAGGAAAGGACTCTATGTATCAGGCAACAGGAACATTCTGGAGCTCCTGGACCTTGCAGAGGTGACACTATCAGAAAATCCTGCCTTGTACCTTGGTCCCACAGCTGCTTCCAAGCCCAAGAGAGCCTGAAGTCTACCTCTGGGAATCAGTGCAGTTACAAAAGCTCACCCAGAAATAAAGGACAAACATTGAAACTGACCAGATGGGAAAGTAAGCATCTGGTAGACTGCCTGTTACAAACCTTTATTGCCAAAGAGCTCATTGAAGAAAAACAGACTAGAGCTTAGAGAACGGTGTCCTTTCTCCACCAAGCCACACACACTCTTCCAATATGACATGGTAAAGGGGAAATACCATGGTTTCCTTAAACCGAAAGTTCCTAAAAAATAAGATACAGTGAAAATCAATTTGATTATTTACTAGTTAGATAACGATTTTTCCATAGGATAACTTAATATGAAATGTTATTTCATGTTAATATTTTTCACATACAGTCCATATACATACCAGTGGAGTTTGAAAGGGTAGTGGATTAACCTTGATGCGAAACTCTCCCTTCTTGATCAACCCAGGGTCATCAGCTAGGACCCTCTCACATCTACTTCCTCCAAAAGGGGTACAGTAGGTAATTTATAAACATTGTTTGAATAATGACTGAGTATTCCCAGAGTAAACATTTGCCCCTGGCCCATAATACCCTTAGATGTTCTTGCTCTACTTTGCCTCTCTTTGATGTTTGGGTAGATTAGTAGACATGACAAAGAGTATGAGATGAGAGCATGGAGAAATGACTCAATCACAGCTTTCACAAAGAAGAATAATATTTATAATATTAACACTTCCATATGAAACATATCAATATTCTTCAAACACATTTTCCAAGTTTATTTCAGGCCATTTAACAGTCACTTTGCCTTCATTACATATTGTAATGAAAGGGAATTTAATTATTAATACTTCCCAGTTTTCCTTAGCATACCAATTCTAGTTTAAGTTTGATGAGTGCAACTTACCTAGAAACCTGAATTCTGCGAGTGATTGGAATGATAAAGGCCTACATGAAGACTATAGTTAGCACTTTCGCATCAAGAAAGGAGAGCTAGAGAAGTCCTCCTGCATTCCAATCAGGAAAGTCAATACAGGATCACATATTCAGAGGGAAATGCATACACCCTTTACCTTTTAGAAGTGAAAGGATGGTTCTCAGTTGCTATCAGGTCTAGTATTGGCCGTTGGTAATGAGATGAGTTGTGTCACTCAAAATTCATATGTTAAAATCCTAACCCCCAGTACTACAGACTGTGACTGTATTTAGAAGTACCCAGGACAAAATGAGGTCATAAGGGTGCATCCTAAACTAATCCAACTGGTGTCCTTACTAGAATAGGAGATCAGGACACAGGCACATCCAGAGGGTTGGCCATGTGAGGACACAGGGAGAAGGTGACATCTACAAGCCAAGGAGAGAGGCCTCAAGAGGAGCCAGCTTCATCTACATCTTGGGAGAGAAGTCAGCAATGGAATTTGGGGACCTTAGAGAGTTCATAGATTTTTGACTTAATCATTAAAATTCCAGGTCTTGGGCCTGATGGTAGCATGATAGCACTGCAACTACACCCACATGGGAAAGGTCCTTTCTTCATGTCCTAGGATGTCCCTGAACATGCCAGGCACACATGCATGTCCCCATGATCTGGGCCAGCAAAGACTGGGATAGGTCACAGCATGAGGACCCTGTCTTTCTCCCATGGAAGAAATTAATTAATTAATTAACTTTCAAAAATAAATAAACAAAATTATAGGAATCACGCCGCCCCATTGTCTTGTGGTTATGTGAGTTGGATCCCACATGGCCAGCTGCATAGTTCAAGTCCCATGCCCATTGGCTTGAAAAACATGCTGGACACATATGCACGTGTACTCAAAATCCCAACAGGAGAAAGAAATGAAGGAGAAGGAATTGCTGCATGACCTTGACTACAAGGAGTCTCATATTCTCTCCTCTCCCTCTTTTTCTCTCTCTTTCTTTCTCTCGCTCTCTCATTTTTTTATGCCAAGCACACAGAGTTTCTGGCAATTTTTTTTTTAATTGTAGGAATCTAGATAAGAAAATGATGAGAAAATGAGGACCTACATCTGAGCACCAGCATATTCCTGTAGCATTATTAATATGGGAAAAAGACAAAAATTATTTAAACTTGCAACATAGAAGAACTTATTGCAACAAGCAGGAAATTATTGCTTTTACCTGTGAGATGTTGAACAGCCATTAAAAACATTTTCAAAGCTGTAAATAAGTGCTTATGATAAAAGTATTTTTTAAAACATGGAGGAAAATTTATATGTACAGTATGACCACAACTATGTACAAAAAAGTATCTAGAGAAAGACTGTGAAATATTGTTAGTTCTGGTTGGTAAGATTAGAAATAATTGGATTTTTTTTCCTACTTCTTTCTAAGTACTTTCCAAACATTTTACAATAGACATATATTCACTGGATGTATTACAACTGTTTTCAGAACACTCTGGCAGAAGAGAATCATTCCCATGTGCAAAGTATAGAGATGAAGCCAAGAGATTTGTTTGTTCTGAAAGAAGTAATTGAGCACCTTTGCACATTCTATGTATCACAAGAAAATCCTAATAAAAATCTCAACTCCACTTCCACAGGAGTGGAAGTTGTGCAAAGATAAATATAATTAAATCACGTGACTTTCAAATTTGGAGCCATGTCTCAAAGTGATGACCACCATACATGTACACACATGCTCCACACATACTTGTGTACATACATACACAGAGGTGCACACACATGCATATGCACAGGCATACATTCATGAGCACATTTGCAACCATGTTAGGTATCACCAGCTTCCTGCAATGGAGCTAAGATGTTGATCTCTATTGACTGGGTTCTTATTTGCTCACCTGAGTCTAGGGAAAATGACACCTTCCTCTAGCCCTGACTCACTTTGGGAGCTGCTTTGCTGAGAAATGAGTAACTGAGCCCTTTATAAGGAGGTAGCAGTAGGAGGCTGGCTTATCTTTCAGGAGTCATATTTCCGGCCATCAGCCCACTGTGAGGAGGGCATGTGAGGCCTCAGTGCAGTGACAAAGAATCGGAGAGACCATCGGAATCCAGACCATCCATTGCCTATCTTGCTGTTCCCCAGTTTACTCCTTTCTAGTTCAGAGAGATGTCAGTTATCAGACGGAAATGAATTAATCCCACCCTTTGGTGGCAAGAGGGACATACATGGATCAGGCTATGACCTTCTCTCTAGTGGTGATGAAAAAAAGTAACCATTGAGAAGAACACAAGGTGATTGAACATTGCAGTCATTGGGGTCTACCAACACTGAACAGAGCACCCCTTCGAGCACAGGAGAAAGTGTGAAAAGAAAAGGCAGAAAAAACTGGGGAGGGCTATTGGAGTCATGAAATGCAAGTATAAGATGCCAATTAAATTCAAATCAGAAAAATGGCAAAAAAAATTGTTCTTGTCTAAGTACATCGAAAAATCATCTGTAGTCTATTTGAAATTCAAATCTATGGGGTAGAGGGTGTGCCTGTTACACTGAGCACAGTGGGACTAGAACAGAGAAGGAAGCATGGATCCACAGCAGGGTAAATTAGGGGTCACAGGGACCCACCAAGGATAGAGATCTTCTTTCTGTGGGCATTCTAGAGACAGGGAAACCACCAGAGAGGGGAGAAGCCTGGTCCTGATCTTTAAAAATATAACTTCAGGCCAACATGCATGGTAGACCACAAGAGTGAAGAGTGGGGTAACGGTCAGGATGCCCGGAGGCTTGGGAAAACGTCTCCAGGGCACCAAGCAGTGCAGAGAAGCTACGATGAGGCCTGAACTAAGGTAGGAGCTCCGGGGACAGAAAGGAGGGTCAATAAGTGAGAGGTTTTTCAGGGTTAGGGAAAAGAGAAAGTGAGTATGAAGGGTCAATTTGCTAATTAAAGATCTCAGTCCTAGTCTGACTGGACTCCTAAAACCCTCCTTATGAATCTATTGATCTGACTGAGGCAGGGAGCTGCGACAGCCAGGTTGGCATGGAGGCCATGCAGCTCCTTGCTCTCCATGGTGTCTGCTTTTACTTATAAATCCAAACTTGTTTTCTGTGCACACTCTGAAGGCACACGCACCCTGCCCATTACCAAGTGTAATTGGGCACATTAATATGTGCAAAGGCCCTCAATTCATCCCCAGCTTTTCTCCTCAAGGGGAACTGCCTGCTGGCTCATGCAGGCCAGGAAGCTAATTAGCATTGCCGCTCCAAAGCTGACAGTGATGAAAGAAGAAGTCAATGACATTAGACAGATCGAGTTGAATCAGATTTAATTGGAAGCACATAAAAAGGAGTTTATGAAATGAAAACTTGGAGAGGACCAGATGTGAGCTTTCGAGTCAGGCATGGACACTGCAGTGGATGCTGAGCCTTGAAGTCCAGGAAATGAGCCAGTGCTGGACCTGCACGGGACATCCTGGTCACACACTAGGGTTGATAAATTTGAGGTCCCAGATACAGCTAGTTCATAGCAAAGAAGGACCAAAGAAAATGGAGAGTAAAGCATTTGCATGGGACATGCTCTGAGACAGAAAGTCTTACTTATGTCCTGTTGGGGGCCCCTGCTACCTATAAAAGACTTTTGAAAATAGATTCTTAGTTTGGTGAGACTCTCCCAGTGGAGTTTTAGCACTGTAGGCAGGGGATATTTGGGTTGGCACAGCAAATGGTAAATGTAGGTTTTATTACTATTCAGGTATGAGAGGCCAGCAGGTCAGAAGAAAACCACCATGGAAAAGATAGTTCATTATTCATCGATCTGAGAGTAGAGGGTGTGACATACCATGCAGAGCCCCACAGAGAAGTCCCAGTGTTGGAGAGGAGGCACAGGAAGCATGGGGAAATATGCAAAAGACTTTACTGTGGTGAGGAATGTCAAGTAGATTGAGAGTTGACTAGCACAAATAGGTTTTTTTTTTCTTTTTTTGGAGAGGTTTTTGCTATAGGGCACATTGCACTCGCCAGACAGAGAGGGACAGAGAGATAGAAAGCAAGAAATCAGCCCCCAGGGGGGTATGGTCACACCGCAATCCCTTCTTCTCCATTCTCCTCTGGGGATCTTGGGCATGCATGCACACGCACCCGGTGTGAGTTGAAGCCACCTGGTCCGGGATGCGAACTGCAGTCGACTATGTGGGAGTCCAGCGACATAGCCATTACGCTAACTGCTGGTCCCACTAGCATGAATAGTTTTAGCAGACTTTGGTAGAGTGCTGTCTCTAGTTGTCTGCTATCTGTCCTTGGAGTGGTTAGGGCAGAGGGATAGTGAGAGCCCATATAGGAGATGGTGGAGACTT